ATGCTGAAATAAAATTCCTAGGTAATACTTTTCTATCTACAGACACACAATTTGAAGAAAAAGCAAATAAAATCCTAATTATAAGAGAAAAAATTTCTAAAATGTTGTGACACACAAATACTCAGGCATGACTACAAAGGAAGACAAAAAGAGATGAATGTGACAGCTACAAATGAAAACTGCCCCTGGTGTGTTGTAATGGCAATAGCAATACCACTTCAATGATGTAATTTTCCAAAATGGTGAACTCTTAGAAACATTCTCAACAAAACAATCCTTCCTTTGATTTATAAGGTATTTAATAGATTGCTAAAAAATTCAGTGTACTGCATATTAATAAAACCATACAAAAATATTGTTTATATAAATTAAAGAGATTCTAGGATCGGAGCATTAAAAACAGGCTCTTTACCTATTGGAGTATCTGATGGGATATTGGAAAGTCATATTGGAGAAGATATAATTCTTCCTGGTCCCTGCCCATCAAATTGTAGTGTCCACAAACACTAAAAAAACACCCCTACAAACTATCAAAATGGGGCTGGGTGCAGTGGCTTATGCCTATATTCCTAGCCCTTTGGGAGGTCAAGGGAGGAGGACTGCTTGAGGCCAGGTGCTGGAGACCAGCCTGAGCAACACAGCAAGACCTCGACTCTACAAAAAATAGAAAAATTAGCCATGTTGTGGTGGCCTGCACCTATAGTCCCAGCTACTCAGGAAGCTGAGGCAGGAGAATTGCTTGAGCCCAGCAGTCTGGGGTTGCAGTAAGCTATGACGCTACTGCACTGCATTCTAGCCCGGCAACAGAGTGAGACCCTGTCTCAAGAGAAAAAAAAAAAGAAGTTCAAACTATCAAAATGCCCCTCCAGGAAACAGTACCTCCCTTAAGAGCCACTGAGCTAGATGTGATGAGACTAAGTTAATCAGGCACACTCAAATCTTGATTACTGCTACAAAATGGAGGGAATGGACGAGAGAAAGGTAATGACAATATCCACCATTACTAACTTTCTCGTTCTTAAATTAATAGAATATCAAGTGTTCCCTCAGATGAAGGTCTTTATACTGAAGCAACTTTTACCAGTAAATCAAAATACATTGTATTTGTTCAAGTTCAACACATGTTAAAACTGACATCCCAGAAAGGTGATTAGCTAAACAAAAATAAATGTGTTAGGTTTTAATCAACATTTGGTGGAAATGCTAGATTTTAGGCAAAAGCAATGATATCATGGATTAAATATCCACTAGATTTAAAATTCCAAGTAACTTCTTTGGCTTAAATGGGATTCACCTTTATGCATTCACTTACTTTTTGGTTGACACTAGAAATCGTCAAGTCATAGTGGGAAAAAAAAAAAAACAACTTCTGAAGGAATAAAACACGCTGAGGCATAGACCCTACAAACTTTAATTTTTTGTTTCATTTATCCTTATTTTTTAAGGCTTAACTCTACAAGCAGATCAGTGATACTATGAATTAAAAGCCTTGCTACTCTTCACATGGACCCTCAATGAACTAAAAGTCTCTTGGGTCTAACAACCATACAGAGATAGGAAGGTTACTGTAGTTATCCTTCTTACAAGGACTTTTGTTACCAGATAACTTTTTCTTTCTTTCTTTCTTTTTTTTAAAGACATGATCTTGCTCTGTCTGGCTGGAATGCAGTGGCACAATCATAGCTCACCAAAGCCTCCAACTCCTGGGCTCAAGCAATCCTTCCACCTCAGCTTCCCAAACTGCTGGGATTATAGGTATGAGCCACCACACCTGGCCATCTGAGAACTTTTTAAGTAAAGCAAAGCTCCTTGTACTTCAGATTCCTAATTATGGAAGAAGGGTCAGCTAGGATGCAATTATTTCTTATTGGGTGAGGGTAAGACCTTCAGCAGGAGAGTAGAGATTTAAAAGGAAGCTCATATTCCATAACTCAGTTTGGCAAACTTATTACCACATATGTAATGGGATTTGTACATGGAGAAGAAATTTTAATATTAAAAAAATAAACTCAAAGCTAGTATTATTTCTTTATAGCTCTAAAATCTGCTTTTTCATGTTCTCCTAAAAGCAGAAAGATAGCACAAAGAAGAATGTTATTGTCAAGGCTAAGGAAAGAGGGAATGTTCATAAAGCAAACGTCATTAACAGCAGTGATGTCCAAGTAAATGATCAAAGACATTAGTGACAAGTGGTTTAGGGCTTATATACAATGCATGTATCAGCAAGGCCCAGCTTACCAACTAGTTTATTCCTAAAGAATTCACTTATCAATTTGGTTGGAAGGGAGTGTTAAAAGATAGAAAACATATCTAAAAGTCAATATTATTTAAAGCAAATCTAAATTAAATAAGCCCTGCCAATATCAACAGGTTTATTTCCTAAAATCTTAGGCACAAAAAAAAATCTAACATTTGACAACTCATATTAAGTTCTCGGAGGAGGGGAAAGGAAGGACACAACTATTACATAAGGCCACAAGTTACCTTTCAAAATTAAGACATATCAGTGTCATCTTGCTGGGTGCAGTGGCTCACACCTGTAATCCTAGTACTTTGGAAGGACAAGGTGAGAGGACTGCTTGAGGCCAGGAGTTCAAGACCATCGTGAGCAAGAGTGAGACCCTGTCTCTACAAATAATAGAAAAATAAGCCTGGCATGGTGGTACACACCTATAGTCCCAGCTGCTTGGGAGACAGAGGTAGGAGGATTGCTTGAGTCCAGGAGTTTGACATTGAAGTGAACTATGATGATGCCACTGCACTCCAGCCCTTGTGACAGAGCAAGACCCTGTCTCAAAAAAAAAAAGGCATTTCAATTTTGCAACAAAGGTAGAAAAGTACTTATGGGGGAAAAAAGCTTTGTGTATTGTAAAGTTAAACTTAAGCATTAAATTGGCAATGAATGAAAAACACACAAAGCGCCGTATCGTACATTTAGAGTTCACTCACAAGTTACCCTTGGCATAATTTACTGGATTCCATGATAAGGGTCTAAAATACTTCTAGATTGAATTTAAATTTTTCTAGATTTTAAGAAGACTAAAGGGACACTGGTCCGCTGCCGTCAAAATTTAAGAGGCCAGGCGCAGTGGCTCACGCCTGTAATCCTAGCACTCTGGGAGGCCGAGGCGGGTGGATTGTTTGAGCTCAGGAGTTCGAGACTGGCCTGAGCAAGAGCGAGACCCCATCTCTACTAAAAAAATAGGAAGAAATTATCTGGACATCTAAAAATATATAGAAAAAATTAGCCGGGCATGGTGGCGCACGCCTGTAGTCCCAGCTACTCAGGAGGCTGAGGCAGAAGGATTGCTTGAGCCCAGGAGTTTGAGGTTGCTGTGAGCTAGGCTGACGCCATGGCACTCTAGCCCAGGCAACAGAGTGAGACTCTGTCTCAAAAAAAAAAAAAAAAAAAATTTAAGAGGAAATAAATGTTAATGTATGTTTAGTTTCCATCCATCTAACTTTTCTATTAAACACATCTTAAGTTTTTTTAAACCCTTGGCTCATTTCCTTAAGGATTAAGGATTTTTTTACACTAAAATTCAAAATAAAGTCTTTACAAAAGATCTAAATGGAACTTCCATTTGCAAATTTGTTTAAGTCTCAGGATCACAAACCTGCTATTGCCAACTATGAACTTCACAGTTATTCTGGATAGATGATACATATTGTCCCTTCTTTGAAAGATGGAAACAAAATGCTGACATAAGTTTTCTATTATAAAGAAGTTGTGAATTTGATAACAATTGTGCTTAACTGTCTCTTAATAACATGCTTTGTCTTTAAATCTTACTTGCCTAGGTATGAAATGTATTATTATTATTTTTTTCAGACAGAGTCTTGCTCTGTCCCCTTGGCTACAGTGTACTGGCATCATAATAGCTCACTGCAACCTCAAACTTCTGGGCTCAAGCAATCCTCCTGCCTTAGCCTCCTGAATAGTGAGGACTACAGTCACACACCACCACGCCCAGCTAGTTGTTCTTTTTGGAGAGATGAGGTCTCTTGCTCAGGCTGGTCTTGAACTTCTGGCCTCAAGTGATCCTCCCGCCTCAGCCTCCCAGAGTGCTAGGATTATAGGTGTGAGCCATGGTACCCGGCGACATGTATTATTTTTAAAAGGAAAACAAAAACAAAAACAAAAAAACCAGATCCTGTGGGACAAAGACTGTTTAATAAATGGTATTGAGACAAATAGCCATGTTCAGAATAAAAATAAAATTAGATCCTTAAATTTTGCACCATATAGAAAAATACATATTATTGCTGATGGATCCAAGAGTAAAAAATAAAAATGCAAATACTCAAAATTCTACATATAATTTTAGGGAGTTCACAGACTCTCTAAAGCCCATCAATGGATCCCATATTGTTATCTATAAGAGGAATTGTTAATCATAACTTTTATTAAAATAAAATCTCAATGCCAAATACTAAATATATTTATAAGATTAAGTCACATGCAACAAATGAAGATGAACACATTAACTGATTGTTATAACTTTATAAAATCTCCGAACTGGAACTAGAAACAGAGGCATGTCAATTACAAATGGACAATGACTTCAAAAAAATACACCAATTTAAATAAGTTTGAGTGCATATTGTACAAGTATATCCATGTCTGTTAGCCTTTCAGAAATATAAAATCAGCTAAATCTGTAGTACTTAAAATTCAACATGTGCAATGTTATTCTCAGACTCGATTAAAATAATAAATACAAGGTATGTTTAATATGAGCAACTGGCAACATACTCAAACATCTAAACATATAATAGGAATTCTATATTAAAATGCAATACTTTTCACCTGCATTAATCTCATACACAATGGAAAAATACTTGTAGATAATTAGCATTAAGAATGCAAATATATTTTTACTGTAGGAGAAAAATTATAGTAATAAGGTTAGAAATCATATATTTATATAATCTACAATGAAGCTGTAGATAGTCTACATAATGATATTCTATCTTAAAATGAAAACAATTCAATATTCAAGTTTACAACAAATTTACTCAAGGCAAAATATGTTTATTACAGAACAGGATCTTAAAGTAAGCAAGGCAACATCAGATCAACCATTTTAGATTTTTAATGAAGTATAGCTTTAAAATTATAATAAAGATGAACATAAATTCTAACATGCTCTTCTCTTCTTATAAATGGGATGATGTAGAAAAGCAAAGCTTCAATGTATAGGGGTTAGAACCATCTGTAAAAATCAAAAAAACAAAGTTAATAGTTCATCAAACTTTCAAGATCACCTTGAATTAGCAGAGTAAATTATTTCACCTTTTAATAGCATTAGAAACAGGAATATAAAGAAGGAAAAATTCTGTGTAAGGTAAGGGGAAGAGAAAAAAAGACTAAATTGAGCTTAGAATAAAACAACTAATAAAAAAAAAAGGTAAGAGGAAGAATATTTTTTATTTTTTTTTCAGATGGGAACTCTCTCTTTTGTCCAGACTAGAGTGTACTGGCATCATCATAGCTCACTGCAACCTCAAATTCTTGGGCTCAAGTGATCCTCCGGCCTCAGCCTCCCAAAGAGCTAGGATTACAGGCATGAGCCACCATGCTCAGCCAGATTATTTTTATTTATTTATTTATTTATTTTTGAGACAGAGTCTCACTCTGTTGCCTGGGCTAGAGTGCCGTGGCATCAGCCTAGCTCACAGCAACCTCAAACTCCTGGGCTCAAGCGATCCTTCTGCCTCAGCCTCCCGAGTAGCTGGGACTACAGGCATGCGCCACTATGCCCAGCTTAATTTTTTCTATATTTTTAGTTGTCCAGCTAATTTCTTTCTATTTTTAGTAGAGACAGGGTCTCTCGCTCTTGCTCAGGCTGGTCTTGAACTCCTGACCTCCAGTGATCCTCCCACCTCGGCCTCCCAGAGTGCTAGGATTACAGGCGTGAGCTACCACGCCCGGCCTATTTTTATTCACATTTACTAAAAGGTAAACTCCATGAATGCAAGGACTTTGCTCACTGTTACAATGCTGTTGTTCTAAACATTAACTAGCAAATAGAAGGCACTCATATTTTTCTAGTAAATTAATTAATCATTAAAAATAAATAGTATCAGAATTATGCATATATCCATCAGCAAAGCTTGCTTTGGAGAAAGTATCATCAATGTTAACGCTCTATAAAAAGCCAATTCAAACAGCTTGGGAAATGGGACAAAACTAGAATGTACATGAAGATATCTATGATCCCAAAAGGTTCCAGGAAATCTAGTATTTAAAAATTTCTGATCATCAATTAGGCATATAAATTCTAAAACCACTCAAAAAAAAAAATTGGGTATAAATCACAAAAACATTTCCATTTTATAAATTCTTCTTTCTTTTAATTTTTCAGATCAAGAAGAAAACACTCTTCATCAATTGCTTATATAAGAAATCAAAGCAGAGAAACAATTCTGGCATCTTAATGTATCAGAATTTTATTATTAAAAGCTATAGCTCCTTAAAAAAAAAAACTCCTGGAAGAGAAAAAGCATATGCGTAAACAAGTACGTGAAGACACTGCAGAGGATAAAAAGATAAACAACTGTCCCCATCTCCGAGGAGTTTACAATCCATACAACTATCAAATACATCTCATATGACTTTAAAGCCTTTTAAAACTTTCTATCAAAAATCAAGTCTGACTCACTACTTAAAATTTCCTTTTGTGACTAAAAGTAAAATGAGGAGGTACTTCTTTTAACTTTTTATTATGGAATTTTCAAACACACACAAAAATGTAGATTAATTTAATGAATCCCCACATACCTATCACCTAGCTTCAACAACTGTAAACATCTGACAGTCTTATTTCATGTAACTACCCTCCATATGCATTGCTGAGAGCTAGAATATTTTAAAGCAAACTCCAGATGTGCTATTCCACCCATAAAGCCTTCACTGTGTATTTTTCTTTTTTCCTAACCAACATTCATCACCACACTCAATGAAATTTAATAATTTTCCCCCTATTATTTAAAAGTTTTAAAAATGTTGCGGTGGCTCACGCATGTAATCCTAGCACTCTGGGAGGCTGAGGCGGGCGGATCGTTTGAGCTCAGGAGTTCGAGACCAGCCTGAGCAAGAGCAAGACCCCGTCTCTACTAAAAAAAAATAGAAAGAAATCATCTGGACAACTAAAAATATATAAAAAAAATTAGCCGGGCATGGTGGCGCATGCCTGTAGTCCCAGCTACTCGGGAGGCTGAGGCAGTAGGATCGCTTGAGCCCAGGAGTTTCAGGTTGCTGTAAGCTAGGCTAATGCCATGGCACTCACTCTAGCCAGGGCAACAGAGTGAGACTCTGTCTCAAAAAAAAAAAAAAATGTATATATACACATTAGGGAGGAAAAAAAGAATGAAACAAAAAAAAGTTGGAAGTTGTAGACAGCTTTAACTTTTCATTTTGTACCTTTAAGTACTGCCTGAGTTTTCTAACCATACATATGTATTGCTTTCCTCTAAAATGATCAACGGGGATTGTGGAAGCCAGCCTCCAAGATGGCTCCAGTGATCCCCACCTCCTGATATTCACACCCATGCATAGTCCCCTCCTAATGTACCAGGCTTAGTCTGTGTGACCAAAAGAACACAATGTAAGTGATGGTAAGTCCCTTCCAATATTAGGCTATAAAAAACATTGTTGCTTTTCTCTAATTGCTCACTCTCAGTGAAGCCAGCTATTATGAAAAGGCCAACATGACTTGACTGAGCCTGTAAACAAGAAGACATGAGTGAGCACAGAAGTGGATTTTCCAGCCTCAGACAAGCCTTATGATGAATGCAGAACTACAAAACAGTGCAACCTCAAAAAAGACCCTAGCCAGAACCACCCAGCTGAACTGCACCCAGATTACTGACCCTCAGAAATAGTAAAATAATAAATGCTTGTTTGCTGTTTTAAGATGCTAAATTTTGTGGTAATTTGTTACACAGCAATAGATAACTAATACAGGGATAATATGCCTTTTTTTCTTCGTAATGCTCTGTATTTAAAAAAAATCTAATACGTGTTATCTTAAAATTATTGTCAATGTTTCTAAAGGTAACTCCCACAGAATTATTATAACAAAAATAAAGGATTTTACTTACTTGGGACTCTTATCTGGTAGTGATTAAGTGCTGTCAGGGCTTCTACTGCATCAGTTTTGCATTCCCATTCTAATAGCCCAGAAAGTGTTTTGGCAGAAGCTACAACAAAACAAACAAACACAAACCCGTTGTTATTTGCTTGTCATCAACTTAACCGGAAAACTTTAAAAGAGGAACTGTTCACTTACGTTTTGCATCAAATACTTTGTATTTGATGAATGTAAGAACTTCATGGTCATTACACAACTGCCAAAGAAAGGTGAAAACTTCATTAAAAATACGGCCAAAATAAAATTCCCAATTTTTTTTGTAGACAGTAAACTTTATGGCAGCATTTAAGTTTTGAGTCTGATATGAATTAACTAAATATGTTTTTAGATTACTATCAAGCTACATGAGAGAATCAATTAAAAATAGTAAAATTCTATAAACTAGGTAAATAACTTAGTGCTGTATAATAAAACCACAGATTTGTTAACTAAAATACATATTCTCAGAATTGACCAGGATTTATCTAGTACATAAAGTAGTGTAGAGTTCCAGAAAAATCACTTCTTTTATGAAGCATTTCTTAAAATTCCTACTTAGCATTTCCTAAGTTAGGGAAAAAGGCAGGGTTACATAAAATTTTGTTATGGGTGAGATTTAGGGACATGGTAAAATAACTTTCTGAATGCAAGAGTAAGGATTATCTCATTCTAATTCCAACTCTCAAAAAGAATGAGCCACAAACCAGTGAAAACCAATGAAGAATGGAGGCCAGAAAAGTACAAGTACCAAATAAATAACAAAGAATAATATCAAAGCAGAAGACAGGGCAAGATGACTTCAAAGTGAGGCTGAAGTGTATTTAAAATAGGAAATGGTAACACTCTATACACATTTGTATCTCAGCACATACCTTTGTGAAGGTCTCTTCTGTGACACACAATGGAACATTATAATAATGCAGCACACATGAGGGTGGCTGGATTATATTCTTAGATGCTTGGCCAGCACTTGTAAAGCGATTATTTTTGCTCATTGCAAAATCTTTGTAGCTACTTGTACCATCCTCCAGCTCAAATATTTGACTTGGAACAACTGAATGTTGTTTAGACACACTGAAGATTGGAAAGGAAAAACATATAGAACACACCTCGTTAGATAAAAAGCAGCATAGTCTCAAAATGCTAACATATTTTGCTTCCATGAATCTTAACAAAAAAAAAAAAAGGCAATTGTAGCTATTTAAATACAGGATTTAGTTTGAGTTATAATCAATCACTCTTACAGTTTAGGCATCAATTAGAAAGAAAATCAATTGACTATATTCTCAGAAAACTTTAACGTAAAAACTTGCCCATTTTAACCATGTTTTACAATTATAAAACTTAAAACAAGATATAGCTAAGCAAAATCTAAATTATATGACCCTAAAAAGCTTATCTAAAATGATAATACTACAGCTGCTAGTTTCAGATGTACCCTCGCAGTTACATTAAAATATTCTGAATAGAAATTAATGTCTCTAAATAAAAAGGACAATTTTTAAATATTTTTAAAATTTATTAAGATAAATAATTACCAAACATTAAGTCTTTTCCCAAATAATTTGACATTATTAAGGTGTGTGACAGCTCTTTCTACTGCATATTCATCCCCCATTTCTACCAGTGCTGTACCAGGAATGGTCTTCATAAATTTTACCTGTAAATACAAAATCCCAAAAAGATCACCATTTAATCCCTTTTACAATAACAGAATTTTTAGAAGATAGTATGATTTAAGTGGTTAAAGTCAAATACAGAAGATCACCTAGAATCTTAACTATATTCTGCCATGTTATGAGACACCCTTAACTCTCATCAAAATTCAACAAAATTAAAGAGGAAGACTATAATTCTATAAAATAGCATATTGAAGAATAGCACAGGCTTACCCAGGCTGTTGTTATTAATTGTGTGACTTGGGGGGGCGGGGCAATTTACTTAACTTTTCTGCATTGTCTCTATAAAATGCAGGTAATGACAACACCTGGCAGGACTCTATATTTATTCATTCAACAAACATTCATTAATTGTCTAATATGTTATGATGAGCAGTGAGCTAGGTACTGGGGAGTTAATGGTGAACATAATATACATTATCTTCTTGAACCTTATATTCTGGTAGGTAGGTAAGAAATTTAAAAGTAAACAAATAATAATTACAAACTAGGCAGAGTTATGTTAAGGCAATAAACAAGATGCTATGTAAGAAATAATACAAGGCACGGTGGCTCACACCTATAATCCCAGCACTTTGGGAGGCCAAGGTGGAAAGATCATCTGAGGCAAGGAGTTTGAGACCAGCCTGGACAACAAAGTAAAACCCCATCTCTACCAAAAAACAAAACAAACAACAACAACAACAAAAAGAAATACTACAAAATGGCCATGAGATAGCATGGTCAGTAGGAAGGCCTGTGCAATATAGGGGAAGTTTAAAAAAATAAGCAGGCCGAGCGCTGTAGCTCACTCCTGTAATCCTAGCATTCTGGGAAGGCTGAGGCAGGAGGATTGTTTGAGCT